TGGCCACGCCAGCGTGAAAACTGCCACAGACAATGTGCAAACTAACTGTGGAGTGATCAATGTACAGCTTCCCCAACATCATCGCCATGCTCACACTGGGCTATAGTTGAGAAATGTTTCTCGGAACCTATTTCTTTACCAAAAGTAGGCAAGGGCCTCTGCAGACACGTACTTTCCCTAGTACGTACCCTGTGGAATCTTTCTTAAACCCACTCCTCCCCTCTAGGAGAAGCAGCCACTTCTTTTTTTTTTTTTTTTAATGTTTTTATTTATTTCTGAGAGACAGAGAGACAGTGTGAGCAGGGGAGGGTAAGAGAGAGAGGGAGACAGAGAATCTGAAACAGGCTCCAGACTCTGAGCTGGCTGTCAGCACAGAGCCCAACGCGGGGCTTAAACCCACGAACTGTGAGATCATGACATGAGCCGAAGTCGGACGCTCAACCAACTGAGCCACCCAGGGGCCCCCAGAATCGGCCACTTCTAACAACCAATGTCCATGTAATATCCGAGTGCAATTATCTACCTGGCCCTCCACTAGGGCATAGCCTCCTTAAGGCAAGGACTAAGGTTATGAAAAGATTTTTTTAAATAACACAGAGAACAAGGACTATAAAAATAAATAAATAAATAAATAAAAATAGGGGCACCTGGGTGGCCTGGTTGCTTAAGCATCTGACTATTGATTTTGGCTCAGGTCATGATCCCAGAGTCATGGGACCAAGCCCCACATCAGGCTCCGCAGTGACAGCATAGAGCCTGCCTGGGATTCTCTCATTCCTCTCTGCCCTTCCCCCATTCATGCTCTAAGTTAACAAATACAAAAAAAAAATAAAAACAAACAAAAACAAACCATATCACTATGTTAAAATTAAGAACAGTTGTTCACATGGGGTACCCAGGTGGCTCAGTCAGTTAAGCATCCAACTTTGGCTCAGGTCATGATCTCATGGTTTGTGAGTTCAAGCCCCATGTCAGGCTCTGTGCTGACAGCTCAGAGCCTGGAACCTGCTTCGGATTGTGTGTCTCCCTCCCTCTCCACCCTTCCTCCTCTCGCACTCTGTGTGTGTCTCTCTCTAAAAAATAAACATTAAAAAAAACTTTTTTAAAAGGATGGTTGTTCAACAAAAGAGGTCTTAAGTAGAATGACCTGTTACAAGCTGGAAGAAAATATTCACAATATGAACAAAAGATTGAAATCAAGAATATATAAAGAACTCTTACAATCTATAAGTTGGCAAAATCATAAGCAACTACTTCATAGGAAACACATAGGCCAATAACCTCATGAAGAGATATTCAATGTCAGGGAATAGCCCCATGTCAGGTTCTGTGCTGGCAGCTCAGAGCCTGGCGCCTGTTTTGGATTCTGTGTCTCCTTCTCTCTCTCTGCCCCTCCCCCACCCATGTTTTGTCTCTCTCTGTCTCAAAAATAAATAAACTATAAAAAAAGATTTAAAAAAAAAAAGGAAAAATAAAGTCTGCTTATAGCGAGTGTCAACAAGAATGTGGAGCTACTAGCGTCCCATATGCTCGTGCCGAGGGACTGGATACTGGTAGGACCACTTCAGAAACAGTCTGGCTACATCTACGAAAGTTGCGCATGATGACCCAGCAAAACATCACCCCTAAATTCGTACCCAAGAAAACCTCTTGCACCTGTACTACAGACATGTATGGAAATGTTCAGAGCAGCACACTTTCAACAGCAAAAATCTGGAAACAACTAAGTGCCCCTCAGTGGAAGATCAGATGCATAAGCTGTGGCGTGTTCACTCCATGGATTATTCGGTAGTGAATACAAATAAATCAGAGAACGTGCAATAATATGGGAAAATCTTAGCAACATCTTCTTACCTTCCTTAAAAACACAGGTACAATAAAACTACACGAGCATGAAAGCGAGGGGGTAATGGTTATCTCAGGAGGGAGAGAAAGATCAAATGATTACACGTATACTTTTTTTTTGTTTTGGGTGGTTGGAACACAGGAACTTACTACATTCATTACAAATCACTTAGGAAATAAATGAAAGCAAGTCATGCATGAACAGTGATGAGCAGGTACTAATCCAGCTCTGTGTTTACCCGAGGTAGAAGTTAAAACTAACACATTTTAACCCAAGTGCCAAGCTCTACCCCTGACACAGGGTTTCTGTGCGGCCCACGGCCCCATTCCTGCTGGCCTCTTAGGTACTTTTAATATGTCTGAACCTAGGAGTGCCTGGGTGGCTCAATCGGTGAAATGACTGAATTCAGCTCAGGTCATGCTCTCGTGGTCCGCAGGTTCGAGCCCTGCGCCGGGCCCTGTGCTGACAGCTCAAAGCCTGGAGCTGCTTTGGATTCTCTGTGTCTCCCTCTCTCTCTCTGCCCCTCCCCTGCTTGTACTCTGTCTCTCTCAAAAATAAACAATTATTGGGGCACCTGGGTGGCTTAGTCGGTTGAGCGTCCGACTTTCGCTTAGGTCGTGATCTCGCGGTTCGTGGGTTTGAGCCCCGCGTCGGGCTCTGTGCTGACTGCCAGCTCGGAGCCTGGAGCCTGTTTCAGTCTGTGACTCCCTCTCTCTCTGACCCTCCCCTGCTCACGCTGTCTCTCTCTCTCTCTCTCCTAGAAATAAATAAAACATTAAAAAAAATAAAAAATAAAAAAAATAAATAAACAATTATTTGGGGCACCTGGGTGGCTCAGTTGGTTAAGCGTCTGACTTCGGCTCAGATCATGATCTCATGGTTCTTGGGTTCGAGCCCCGCGTCAGGCTCTGTGCTGACAGCTAGCTCAGAGCCTGGAGACGGTTTCAGATTCTGTACCTCCCTCTCTCTCTGACCCTCCCCCGCTCACACTGTCTCTATCTCTATCAGAAATAAGTAAAATGTTTAAAACAATAATAAATAAATAATTACTAAAAAAATTTTTTTTAATTTAATATGTCTGAACCCAGACTCATCTTCCTTCCTAATTCTCTTTTCCCCCTGGATTCCCTGGCCCCAGGCAGTTAGGAGAAAAAGCTGGGTTTCTAGATCCTCACAACTTTCCCCCGCCAGCCCTGCAGCTGCCGCGGCTTCCTTTTTCTCCTCCCCTTTCAGGCCCTGGTGCTGGCATCTGCTTGGGACTTGTATGCCTCTTACACTGATAAGTATTCTCTCTGAACCGTCTTCCCCAAATCTGTCTCTCCTTCTGGTCCACCTGAGAGGCAGGTCTGAGATTGAGCCTCCCAAAGTACACTTTCGGAACAAAGTTCAAGTTCCTTGGATTGACACGGAAATCCCATCACAGTCTGGTCACTTCCTATCAACTGTATTTGCCAGTGCACTTCCCTTCAGTGCCTTCTTTTTGCCTACAGCTCCCCTTCCCCCAATCCATCCCTGAAGAGTTTAATGATACCTGCTACCCCCATGTACATCCAGTTTTCCCACCTCCATACCTCAGCTCTATACAGAACCACCCACGTAGCCACACATCCTCACCTTACCCATACTTTCAAGACCCACTTCATTTACTTTTTATTTTTTTAATGTTTACTCATTTTTGAGAGAGAGAGAGACAGAGAGAAAGCACCAGTGGGGGAGGGGCAAAAAGAGAGGGAGACAGAGGATCTGAGAGGCAGGCTCCACTCTGACAGCAGAGCCTGATGCGGGTCTTGAACTCCCAAACCGTGAGAGTATGACCTGGGCTGAAGTCGGACACTTAACCGACTGAGCCACCCAGGCACCCCAGGACCCAATTTAAACAGCACCTCCAAGATGCCTCGATGTGCCCAACTGAAAGAAAACACCTTCTTATCAACTTACACGGCACCTGTCTGCTCTTTACAGTTCTCTCAGTCCATTCTATCTATGGACTATGAGCAAACTGGGGGCCACACCTCTCATGGCGTAAGGAAAACAGTCACAAAGAGAATAATTCAGGCGCCTGGGTGGCTCAGTTGGTTGGGCGTCCAACTTTAGCTCAGGTCATGATCTCTCGGTTTGTGGGTTCAAGCCGCAAATCGCGTTCTTCACTGGCAGCTCAGAGCCTGGAGCCTGCTTCGGGTTCTGTGTCTCCCTCTCTCTCTGCACCTCCCCAGCTCGCACTCTGCCTCTCTCTCTCTCAAATATAAACATTAAAAAATTAAAAAACAAAAACAAAGAGAATAATTCAGTCTAATGCATCCCATGCTTTCCAACCAGTGTGCTCACTTAGTACGTCCTCATGGAATTCTAAAACCCTGCTCCCTGGAGCCTTGGCAGGGCCCCCAAAACCCTCCACACTCTGCCCTCTGCCTACTTCTCCAGCCTCCTCTACCCCACACCCACCCCTTGCTGCTTCTGGCACAAAGAACTGCTTACAGTGGCCCAGGCACACCAGGTAACTTCCAGACTGTGCAGGCACTGACTCCTCTGTGGGGCTTCTCCCCTCCTTTCCAAGTCCTCCTCCTCTTCCTCCTCCAAGACTCATCTTTGTCATCCTCTTCTCCCTCCTACCCCTTCCTGGATGAACGGCAGGGGTGGGGGGGGAGGGCTCTGCTCTGCGATTCCTCCAGCTTCAACACGACTCAACACATATCCCCCCGACAACACCTTGCCACCGGTCTATGGTTGGTCTGTTCCACCCAACCATGCGCTCCCTGGTGACAGAGCTCTTGTTGCTCACCAGTGGACCCCAACACTGGGCGTGGATGGGCCCTGACACAAACGAGGCACCCAGTTTTGTTCACAGGGGGAAAAAAAAAAAAAAAAAAAGACATAAAAATTTCCAGGTCAGCTGCAGGACCATGACTTGTGTCCTTCATCCCATAAAGCATGCCTTATGTGGAAACCACGCGGAAAGCATCCTCTAAGACTGGTTAAACAGGAGAAGCCCTTGGCAAGAAAGCACTTGAATTTATGTGAGACAGCTGGCAATCAACAATCAACTCTCAAGGCTGACTTTTCATCCCGGAGACCTCAAATTCCAGCCTCCCCTGTCTCCACCTCCACGAAAAACCAGACTGAGGACGCAGCAATGTGACGTCCCCGTGGCCCTTACCTCTTCTCTCTGGAGAGCTGGCACACACTGTCCCTTCTGGATGGTGACACCAGATCCTCAGGAGGAATGACTTGTTCGAGTTCCCATCTTGATATGAAACACAAACAACAAAAGCCGAGCAAATCCGAAAGTCTTGCTGACTCGGCAACACAAATTCCAAGGCACCTTCGCCAACAAGGAAAAAGATGATCAGGTTTAAAACCGAGAAACAGCAGTCAGGGAAAGCGAATGCACAGATGTTGGGTCCGCGCGCTGCGGCTGGGGGCTGGAAACCACCAGATTTATTTTCCAACAGCCTGGGCAGGGCACAAGGTACAGCAGTCTCCCTCCACCTACTCGGTCATCAAGGGTACAGTGGAAACAAACAAACAAACAGCTCAGCAATTTCATGAAAAGGCCTAAACGGACTTCATAAGCCACTCTGCGGTGGTTAAGTATCCAAGAAATTAACATACCAGAGAGGGGGAAAGTTTGGCCAAGGTCACAGAGAAGTACAAGAGGCCTAGTTACAGCTACCCTGATGGTAAAGCCTGAGGTTGGCTACCAGGAAGCTCACCTTCTAGAACTCTAGAGGAGCTAGGATGGCAGGCAGAAATATTCTGAGTGAATTCTTAAGGGTCCAAGCGCCCGTGCACACACCATTTCCACTGTTACTGGCACTTAGGGAAGTGGAACCAGGGTGGAGGGGAGCAGCTGGCCTGAGCGGAGGGGGGCGCATGGAAGGCCAGCGTCAGAAAAGGGACTCTTCTAAATCCTCCTCCACATACATTACGCACCCCTCAAAAGTAACCCAGGGCCCCAGGAAACCGGAGTTTCCTGGAGGGCGACCCCTACTTGAGGCGAGGGAAGCAGAAGTACGGAGCAAAACTCTTTCAAAGTACGGCCCCGGGCTCCAGCGAAGTCGTTCACCTGAAGGCAGACCCCGGGAGAATCCCCACCCTCACCCGGTAGCCCGGTGACAAGAACACCCCCGACCCGTCCCGGTCCTGTCTGTGGGGAGGGGTGCCCTCCTCGCTACGGCCCCGAACTCCCAGGGTCTGCCGCCCCTCCCCCTGCTAGCCCTTCGGCTTCCACCCGGCGTTCACCCTCGCACCCGGCACCCAGTCCCGTCCTAGGCCATCGGCGCCTCAGACTTCCCGGACGCCGCGGCTTGTCTTCCCAATCCCCCCCGCCCCCCCGGACCTCACCCGGGGCTCTTGCCCAGTCCGGCCCTCCCTCACTCGCACGCCCGCCCCCTTCCGGTCCCAGCTCGGCTGGGTCTCCCCGCTCCGCGTCCCCGGGACCCCAGCCCTGGCGACAAGCAAGTGACCTGCCCGCCCCTCTCACCGAGGCTGAGGAAGGCGAGGGGGGCAGGCTGAGGGCACCGCCGCGCTCGGGCTACAGCCGGGATTCGGCCTGGGCACCGCTCCCGCTGAAGCTCCGACTCTGAGGAGGCAGCCAGAGTGAAACTCGGCGTCGCAGCTTCCTAGCGCTCCGGTGCGCATGCCCCGGACGCGGGGCCTTCTGGGAAATGTAGTTCCGTGGGTTGGGGGCAGGGCGGGGCCCAACCCGTGGCGCACCTGTTCAGGTGTATCCATTCCTCCTCAGCCTGTTCACTCGCTGACTTCATTAACTTACTGACTCGTATTAGGTACTTTTTAACCGATACATACGTGATGTCAGGCCCTGTGCTGAGTACTGGGGATTAGAACGTGAGTTATAAACTTGGTTTCTCACCTCGGAGAGCTTCGTATCTACTTGGGGAGACAGATACTCAAACATAGAATTACACTACGGTGGGATAAGTGGGAGTTTAAACACAGGAGTTGGAGCACAGAAGGGTGTGCTTAATTTGAGAGGGGGTGTGAGGAAGACATCACAAAGGGGTGATGCATGAATTGGATTTTGAAGCATATATAGGGGTTTGCCAGATGGAGTACAGGAAGTTCTTGCAAAGTGCCTGACATAGGGAAGTGTGAAAGTGCCTGACACAATCAGGAAGCAGTGAAATGTTCCCTGTGGTCAGGGTAAAGGGTATATGGAAAGGCTGAGGACAGAGAAAATAGACTAGGGTGTGTTGGAATAGGAATAAGGGGAGCAGGGTGGGTAAGATTATGATCATCTTTAAATGCCATGCAAGGACTTTAGGCAGCTGGAGCCAATAGAAAGATTCAAGCAAGGGATGACAGTCAGCACTGCAGTTTAGAAGGATACTCTGTGCGGTAGGTAGAGGATAGGTTAAAGGGACAGAGAAGAGCTGGGAGACCAGTTTGGAGGATGTTGCTGTAGTCCCGATAGAAGGTGATAAGGTCTGAGCCAGGTTGGTGACTGCTCTTCTGGGATCACAGACCTCCCTTTCAAAGCTAAAGAAAGCTATTCCCAAAATATGCACGTGTACATATACAATCTTGCCCACAGTTTTAGGGGATTCGGAGTTCTCTGAATCTTGGACTCTAGTTGAGTATCATTACTTAATCTAATGCCCCTTGCACTTCATCGGATTTCAAAAGGAGACACTCCTGTAACTCCCTTACCATTCAGTTCAAAACTTCATTTTACAGAAGAGGAAGCTAAGGCCCAGAGAAGGGGGACTAATTCACTCAAAGTTAGTGAAGGAAGGGAAGGAGTTCCTGTGACCGCACTTCTGGGACCCTAGGCCAGGACTCTTTACGACCCAGGACCTGACTTACAAGAGACAGGCCTTGAGTTTGGGCACTCACCAATGTCTGATTCTCCCAATTATACCCAGGGCCAGCCCTCTTTCTAGAACTGAATGGTAACTTTCTAGCTGTGATTTATACTACATAACTGCAGTGGCTACACATTAGGATGCGAACATTTCCCATCTTCTTTCAGAATCAGTTTTCTCAGCCATAACCATCTATACCAAACATTTCTCTTTTTTTTAATTTTTTAATGTTTTTATTTATTTCTGAGAGAAAGACAGCATGAGCAGGGGAGGGTCAGAGAGAGAGGGAGATACAGAATCTGAAGCAGGCTCCAGGCTCTGAGCTGGCTGTCAGCACAGATCCTGATGCAGGGCTTGAACCCACGAACCTTGAGATCATGACCTGAGCTGAAGTCGGACGCTTAACCAACTGAGCCACCCAGGTGCCCCTAAACATTTCTTTTTTTAAAAAGTTTAATGTTTATTTATTTTTGAAAGAGAGAGAGCCAGAGTGCAAGCAAGGGAGGGGCAGAGCGAAAAGGACACACAGAATCCAAAGCAGGGTCCAGGCTCTCAGCTGTCAGCCCCAACGCAGGGCTTGAGCCCATGAATGGTAAGATCATGACCTGAACCAAAGTGAGATGCTCAACCAACTGAGCCACCCAGGTGCCCCTACACCAAACATTTCTAAAGCACCTAGGATGTGCCAAACATTAGGCATGCATCACTTCATTGAATCCCCTCAATGAGGTAGGTATTATCATTCTCCTCATGTTATTTATATTTTAAGTAGGCTCCATGCCAAACATTGGGCTTGAACTCACAACCCTGAGATCAAGAGTTTCATGCTCTACTGAGTAAGCCAGTCAGGTGTCCCCTCGTTATCCCCATTTTAAAGATGGGGTCACTGAGACACCATTTAAGCAATGTGTCTAAGGTCACACAGCCGGCAAACAGCAAAGCTGGTCTTTAAATCAGAGTGGTGTCTAACTCCAGACTTGAGCACCTCTATATGAGTGGCTTCATTGGTGGGGGACAGGGGGTGCAGGTGAAATGGTCTGAGCCATTAGCCTTTCAACACCCAAAAGATATTTTCCTTTTTTAAAAAAAATTTTAGGGGCACCTGGGTGGCTCAGTCGTTGGGTGGCCGACTTTGGCTCAGGTCATGATCTCATGGTCCGTGGGTTCAAGCCCTGCATCAGGCTCTGTGCTGACAGCTAGCTCAGAGCCTGGAGCCTGTTTCAGACTCTGTGTCTCCCACTCTCTCTGACCCTCCCCTGCTCACGCTGTCTCTCTCTCTCTCTCAGAAATAAATAAAACGTTAAAAAAATTACATTTATTTTTGAGAAAGACAGAACACGAGCAGGGAGGGGCAGAGAGAGAGGGAGATACAGAATCTGAAGCAGGCTCCATGCTCTGAGCTATCAGCACAGAGCCCGACGCAGGGCTGGAACCCACAAGCCTTGAGATCGTGACCTGAGGTGAAGTCGGATCCTTAACTGACTGAGCCACCCAGGCACCTCTCAAAAAACATTTTCTTGAGTGCTTCCTTTTTCCTCAGCAAAATGCTTGTGTGATGTTATCCAAAAATCCCACAGCACGCACACCTACGGGCTCAAACATAACTGTGGTGGCAGGTTGGGCTAGAGAGGTTCTAGAACCTAGGCTCTGGAGAGGGGAAGACATCCAAACTCAGAGAGCAGGAGGAGCCAGAGCGCTGAGGAAGGCTTGATGGGGCTGCCCAGGTTGGTGACCAGTGTGGGAACCAGGGGAAAAGCCAGGGGAGGGAAGCTTCACTGAGGCAGTCAGGAAGACACAGAGGACACAACCTAGAAGACTGGGTGCACGGGGTGTCTTCCCATGAGGCAAAGGACACTAGAAATGTGGGGGGGAGGGGCTTCTGGTCAACAAGGTGAGCATGGGGCGCCTGGGTGGCTTAGTCGGTTAGGCGTCCGACTTTCGCTTAGGTCATGATCTCGCGGTTCGTGGGTTCGAGCCCTGCGTCGGGCTCTGTGCTGACTGCCAGCTCAGAGCCTGGAGCCTGTTTCAGTCTGTGACTCCCTCTCTCTCTGACCCTCCCTTGCTCACGCTGTCTCTCTCTCTCTCCTAGAAATAAACAAAACATTAAAAAAAAATTAGAAAACAAGGTGAGAGTGAGGTAGGGAGATGGGCAAGAACGGTGAGGTTCTGGAGCTATCTGTATAGAGGGAGGGGTTTGGGAATCACTGGCAATGACATTGAGATCCCATGGAAAGTCCTCAGAAGATGAGCAAGGTTAGTTCAAGGCTAAGGAACACTGACTTTTTTTTTTTTAATGTTTATTTTTTTTGAGAGACAGACACAGAGTGTGAGCCGGGGAGGGTCAGAGAGAGAAGGAGACACAGAAAACCAGAAGCAGGCTCCAGGCTCTGAGTTGTCAGCACAAAGCCCGATGTGGGGCTCAAACTCACGAACTGTGAGATCATGACCTGAGCTGAAGTTGGCCGCTTAACCGACTAGGCACCCAGGCACCCCAGGAACACTGACTTTTGAAGAACAGATGAGACATAGAAGTGCCTGAAGGGAGGCTGGACTGGGGCAAGCATGGTGGCCGAGAATCAAGGGGCATGTCCCTTGACATGAAGGTGGTGCTCAGTGGCGACAGACACTTCTGAGGGACCCAAGAAGGCGGTCGGCTGGGAGGGGAGACTGTACTAGAACCCGGGGCTCCTGCCTCCCAGCTCTGGGCTGTCTCACCTTGCAGCCTCCGGGAAATGCCCCAGACTTCCAGCTTAACTACAGAGAGGCCACTGGTGACCAGATTGGTTTCCACTGAGAAGCAGGGGCCTGAGCACAGAAATGCACATAGATGTATGTGGTTGTGAAGGTCAGGAATGCAGACAGCTCTTTCAAGAACAGTCTTTGTGTTCCACACATAGGGGCAGGGGGCGGAAGAGGATAAACCCACATGTGTGGAATGAGGCTACTTACGTAAGGCTGCCCATGGCTGTGGCTGTGTGTGCCTGGAAAGACACTAGCCAATGCAGTAATATCTCAGAGGTGAGATAGCAGGTGATTTTCACTTTCTTTGTACTTTTCTTGCATCATTTGAGTGTGTCCCAATGAATAGTTTCCTTTTTTATAACCTGAAAGGAAAGACTATTTTTATTTGGGAAAAATAAAGAGTTCTGGTCGTGAAAAGAAGCAAAATAGGGCAGCAGCAAGAGGGAGCATGGGGGGTAGGGGGACATGGACTTTTAATTTTCAGGCAGGATGGAGCGAGTGTGCTGGGTTCTGAGACTGCAGCAGGATGTCCTCAGGAAGCTGGAAATGAGGGAAACAGGATTGGCCACTTGCAAACTGAGCCTTAAACTAATATGGTAGCAAAGGATCAGCAGCAACTAGAAGAAGGCTGGTTGAATGACCTCAGAAAGCTCAGTAAGAATGAGGAAGGGGCACCTGGGTGGCTCAGTCGGTTAAGCGTCCCACTTTGGCTCAGGTCATGATCACACGGTTCGTGGGTTCGAGCCCCCCGTCGGGCTCTGTGCTGACTGCTCAGAGTCTGGAGCCTGTTTCAGATTCTGCGTCTCCCTCTCTCTCTCACCCTCCCCTGTTCTCTCTCTCTCAGAAATAAATAAAACACTAAAAAAAAATTTTTTTTTAAAAGTTAAAAAAAATGAGGAAGATTCACAGGTGCTAACGGAACAATGGCTGAGATCTATTGTTAAACAAAAAAGGAACGTGCACCTGTTTGTGGTTTGGGTTTGGAAAATGTGAGCATGCCTCCTCCCCTCCCGCCCCCCCTCATACACACAGTAGGGCAGGTTAGGTAT